TTTTTTGTATAATCAATTAATGAGGAAATATGAATTTTTTTCTATTGGACTGAGAAAAAAATAAAAAACCGCGATGAGGAGGATCTTCCTATTAAAATTARRAGCYYATACTGGGTGAGTACTTTCTAAAGGTGCCTAGCAACAAGTTTTTGTGTGTCAGGGTTGCGTCAGGGTTGCCCTAATATATATATATATGTTTTGCTTTTCATTTCTTCGACAATTCATGCGTACAAAACAAGCATGGAATACGATGAAAATGATTTCGATTTTTCGTCGATGAAATAGCCATTCAAAATCGTCTCGAGTTATTGCTTCGCCCGAGCATAAAAGGCCTTGAGAGCAAAGGATTAAAATCTAATTTAAAATTATAGTAATAAATAAGTATTGAAGAAACAATGCACACAAATATTTTTCATATATCTTTATTTCAGCTACTATCTAATTTTCTTTCGGTAACTTGATCTACTACAAATTGTATGCGTTTAAATTATTTCTTGCACTATAATGATTTGATTTTTTTGTTCCTATACTTAACTATAAAAATTTAAGATAATGATATAATTTTATTATCAGAATGAACTTCTATTACGTAGCTGTGTAGCTTGATACATAAGCTCCATTAATTACACTTACTACTAAAATTTACTTATTTCTATAATTTTAGAAAATAATTGATTGACAGTTCATAAATTTATATTTTATAAAATGAAAATAAGAGTGCTCTGAATTCTATTATGATTGAAAAGCAAGATAACAATATCCTTCAAAAAATGTTTTCATATTACTCCTCACAATTTTTTATATTGATATAAAAATTGTATAAGTATTATTTCACTTAGAATATTGTTGATAATACCTAAATGGTCAATTTAATGTAAAAATTCTGCTGTTTAATGAACTATTACTATATAAATACAATAAGCAAAATTTATTTGATATTACATTATCAAAAAATTGAATTTCGTTTTTTTCCGATTCTTGCAAATACAGTATTGAATAGATTTTAATGCATGAAATGCATCTATTAAAATTTTTATAATTATGAGGAAATAACATTACATTATTATTTGAAATTAATCCATAATAAAATTGCAAAAGAAATTAAAATTTATCATGTAATATATCATTATATAGAAATAAATAATTTAAAAACGACTTAGCATTGTATATATTAACGTAACTTTAAAACCAAACAGTTAGCTATTATTTATTTATAATGAATATGTATATATATATGTATATATACATGTATATATATATATATATATATATATATATATACATATGTATCTACCTGAGTTATCTCGATTACGTGTACAATAGATGACTTCTTCATTTGCACATTTAAGTGTAATCAAAAATTAAAAAAGAAAAGAAATTCTTTCCTAATTTGGTGTACTTTTTATGATAATAAAACATAAGAGAAGTAGGATTACAATAAATATATTATAAAAATGTTCGGAAAATGATTTTGATACAATAGTATGCAATATATATACAATTGAAAACCTTAATATGAAATTTACGTTAATAAGCAATCTTTTCTGAAATTACAAAATAAAGGTTTAATTGTGACTTGATTTGCATAAAAAATATATACATAAATAATTATTAAAATATATTTAAATATCCTTGTTTTTTTTTTTACGATTAAATGATTCAAAATTTAGTTTTTATATTAGATATGATCGATTATAACTTAAAAATTAACACGTGCAATTTGGATACTTTACATTTAAAATTTTAAAATAATAATATTTTTCTCATGACTTACAAAAAATTTACGTCATTGATCATGCCTTTATTAAATAGTAAATTCTATGCGATATGAATAAAAATATTATACATCGTTTTGAAAATCTTTAAATTTCAAAGAGAATATACCAACCACGTGTTTAATTTTCAAGTTACACATACTACAATTTTCCGCAATAAAAATATATTATTACTACAATAGTACTTAATATTTGACTAGCAAATGTTCCTAAAAGTGATTCCCAATCTTATCTACTTCTACTTACGAACAAAAAATTAAGATGTAGAATATTTTTCGCTATGATCAATTCATATAAATACTACTAGATTTTGAAATGCGATTACAAAATGTTTATATATCTTTGTATTAAAGTTGGTAATGATTGTAACTTCAAGTGCTTTTATATAAGTATGATCACTTTTGTTTTGTTATAACATGGGAGACGGTTGTAAGTGATTCCATTTAAAATGGATAGCTTAAAGTGGGTTACCCTGTACAAAATCCCATATAAGTACATAATTTTACCATTATTAGAAATTACTTTATAAATTAAATTCATTTAAATTATAATATGAATGTTACTTGTTTAAATTAAAATAGCATTAGATTATGGATGCATGCTCTAAATAATAAATATAACAATTATCATATGTTTAGGGCAGTCAGTTTCATTTACAATATACAAATTGTTTAATAGAATTGTAAATTACATAGATATAGTACCAGCTTTATCTTTGAAACTCTTAAAATTATATATCTTGTCTAATCATTTCCAGCATATTTAAATTTATGTAAGATAAATACAACGTTAAATATTTTACATTATATATTATCTTTGTATATTAATAACTGATATATTTGCATAATTTATCGTAGCGTGATGTCTTTTGTCTTGTGTACAAGTTAATTATATTACGGAATGCCCCAAAAGAATCGTCTATATAAAACTGTTCAAAAACCAATATTATAGCATATAATAATTTGTGAAGCATGTCATTTAAAAATCAAGATAGGTTCATTTTTACATTTTGTATATTTTCTTAATTTTAATAATTGATAGAAGATATTATTTATTCTAACTATGTAAAGAGTTGTGTATAATGGAATAGAAAAAAATATTATAAAATATTACGAAAAAGTATTCTAAGGTTCCTGATATCACCTTATTATTACTCCACACAATTACTATTTTCAGTCTTCTGATAATACTACTTTAATACTTTTACAAAATTCATAGTTTTAAATGGAAATATATTTCTTCTATACTTTCTTCATACAAGTGTATGTATCACAAAAATTTGATCTTTCAAAAAAAAAATAACAATTCAGAAACATGTATTGGAGGAAAAATCAGCATAAAAGTATAAATTAGCATAAAACTCTTTCACCTTGAATTGTTTTAGTTTTATATTAACCTTTGCACTCCCCGCGTTTTTTTACTAGCTATTGATTAAATAAATCGATTTTTTAAAGAAAATGTGTATTTTCGTTTACAAAATAGAAATTTCTCTGTAACAGAGCCACCGGAGTTACAAAACAAATGATAGAATTCTACATATAGCAGAGCTAACGAAGTGCAAAGGATTAATATAAATATCTTCGAAAACATAAGTGTGTAGTAACATGTAGAACTGTGTGTTTCACTAATGAAGAATATTTATGATACTATAGCAGTACTCTAAAATGTACATCTGTTAAATGACCTAATATTAATTTTGACTTTGAATACTTATTTCATCTGCCCATAAGAGCAAAAAGTATATGTACACGTCTCTCCCTCGCTTTCTTCTTCTTTCTGTATGTGTATGTTTTATGTATGTATATATTTATATAATAGAATATTTTATATTAATATATTTTAGTGCAAAACAACTTATATTGATTTTATATATACTTCTATTGTAGTTATTATTGCATTAAATATCACCTATTACATCAATCTTCCCAATGTATCAACTAATTAAGTGCAAGATTTTATTCTGTTTCTTTTTTTCCTTTTAATGGAAAAAAGAAAGTGAAGTATTTTACACAGGTTGTGACATATGTTCTTCATTTCCATTATTAAAAGAAGTGTGAAATAGGGCACATAACTTTGGCAATATTTATGTTTCAGAATATATTTAGCTAGTATCACTTTTAGTACTATTTTACTAATAAATATATCTCTTTTAAAAGATCTTGCACCGCTAAAAAATAAAATAAATATTTTTGGTAAAAACTTACTTCATTTTACTCACTATTCCCCATAGAAAATATAATTACACAATTATATTAATATATAATTAAACTCGAATACACTATCTTTTAAGTACATTTGTAACTTATAATTTTGCGAATAAAAAATTTGTAAATAATATTATAATCGCACCAGCTATTTCGTTGCATAAGATTCAAAAAATCAACGAAAATAAACTAACATATAAATTCGAGATATGAATTAATGACTTCATACGCTAAGAAGTTGCATTGTTTAGGATTTCTTCTGATGTTTTCTTTCTAATTTATATATAGTGCCGTTTGATTGCCCAAAGACCTACAGTAACCTTCGTATAAATTCCTTCAAAGAGGAAGAAGACTATTAAAACTATCTCTTCACCTTATTTTTTTTTAGAAAATAATTTAATCATGCACAGATGCAGATGTACAGTGGTTATGGTAATCAGTCTAAATAAAGAGCCCTTAAGTACATTCTTTAATTTTCACTACGATTATCTTATATAGAAGTATACTCATATAAAATAAAATATGTTCAAAAAATGATATACTCATATAAACTATACAATGTATAGTATTTTTTTTTATCCTAGGGCAGGATTATTACTATACAAACTATTACAGTTTTTAATGAGTAGATTTTAGAAATTGTTTAAATCGTTGTAGGAAGTACCGTATCATTGACCACATTTTTACTATACGCTAGAATCTCAAATTCCTTTAATTTCTACATATATACCGTTATATCATTTGATGAATTCGATTCAATTAGGTAAGATGATATAAAAAATATATAAAAAACAAAAAGAAAAAGTTAATTTTCATAGAACATAATCTTTTGACCTGCAATAATTATTTTGTTGAATTTTTCGCGACTATTATTTCTTTTGTAAACACTGTAACATACCAAACGTGTATTATAAGGGCTTTTCGAGAAGCCTTTTTTTTTTGCCGATGTTTTGTACTTTTCGAACAAGTACAAAACCATTGCATATAGTGTAAATAGTGACAATAACTCGAATTACCTTCTCTAACGCAAATACTCCTATGGGTTTTGGATTCCTAGGAACTTCAAGTTTTCCACTTTCTTCTCAAAAATAACGTTGCTATGGACGTTACGTTATTTAAGCTTCCTGTAATATTTACAATCGTTATTTATCAAGATCATTTTTATAAAACATTTTTGTCGATGCACGTTACTTACTTCAGGAAACAGAAAGTGTTCGCGAATGGGTTGGGGTTGCTCAAAAGGTGAGCTGCTTATATAACCGGGTGAGGGAGACTCGCTTTTCTCAAGCACAGGAGTAATATTTGCATAATTGGCAGATGATGTTCGACCTTGTTCCACCAAAATATTTCGATCGATTTTATAATATTCCTTTCCACTGCGAGGTCGAAGCGTAGTAGTTAAAGCTCTGCCTCCCAACCTAAGTTTAAGAGAACCAAAAGTTGCCATAATCTTGGTTCACAAAAATTTATATAAAATTATAATTAATAACAGACCTTAAACTATCTGGCGTATCAGATGATGAATGAGAAGATAAGGAAAGTGTCTCGATATAATCAGACATATCGGAGGTACCACTGCTTGTACTTCTGGAGTCAATGTAAGGTGCATTACTCGATATTTCACCAGGGCTATTAAACCCTTTTGTACTTTTCGGCAAACACGTAGGTATATCGGCTTCCGCAGAGGATGATTTAGTGGGTATCTTTGTCTTTTGAAATTGGAATGATAATTCCCTCAAAGGATCGCTAGATTTTGATTTTCTTGGCAAACTATTGTGATAGCATGTAGACGGTGGACTTTTACGACATATCGACAAAGCATTTTGTTTCTTTACCGATGCTACGGACGATGTTTCAAATTCCACAAATTCAGCAGTTCTATGACTAAGAGAACCAGTGGATACTCCCGAGTCATTGCTACTAGAGGAATCCCTGTTGTGACCGGTTTTCGATGGTACGGATGAAGAACGACGAATTTTTATGAACAACGGTTGAGACGAAGCAACCGATATCTGTCCATTCTCTTGACTTATTTTCATTTCCGATTTCATGCAAGATGTATGTGGCTCATTGCTTATCAGGGAAGCTTTATCGGCTTCACTAGAGCACTTATGTATGGTGAGAGTGGACGGGAATGTATGAGTTTCATCGTCTAAGTAGTGAGCTGATTCGGCCGAATAAGATCGTTTTCTTAACAAAATACCGATCGTTCCAGTTGATTCAGCGCCATTGCTTCCATCTAAAAGACGACGTCGAAGATATGGACTAGATAACATCGCCGATCCTGGGACACGATATTCCGAATCGCAACGTTTTTTATTCCCATCAGTTGACGAAGAACCTGACAAAGTTGGATTGCTCGAACTCTTCATACCATTATAAATTCTGGACAGCACTTCTTTGGAACAAGCATTATGAGCTGGTTGCATCGGTAAATAACCAGTGAATGGTTTTTTCGGTACTTCTTTATCTAGATCCATTACTAAATAATCATTATCTCTTTCTTTTACATGGCCACATTTCTGACAAACTTTAAAGGAACTTTCTTCGCTGGATGCTTCTACTTTTGTATCTTTTAATTGATCAGCGAACTTTTCCAATTCTTCTTGTGAAATACCACTTTTTGTTAGAACATCTTTACTATTCTCATAATGTCCTAACGATTGAGTAAAGTCGATATTAGCATAATTTGTTTGCTTCGATTCGGATTGTGTATCGATAACAGGTTCAATATTTTCGTAATTATTTGATTTGCTGCTGGTTACGCATTCACAATTATCATCAGCTTTAGGTTCATTAGCTTGTCCTTTATTTATTCTTTTAGCAGTGGCGTAAATAGAAACATCACCACTGGCATTAACAACAGGCATTTTTCCTTCTCCCGATAGCTTTACAGGGTGTACTGTCACACCCATAGGTTCAATTCCTGCTCCACGTCGACAATACGGTAAAACGAATCCAGCCCAACTCATGACATTGTGGCATGGACAGGCTGACGATGATCTAGGCGATTGAATATTAAGCTTTGTTGGACAACCACATTGTTGCAAGACAACAGCTTGTGGGGCCTGAGGAGTATCATAATTGGGATAGGTTTTTGGTATCGTTAAACACTCCTTTATCTTCCTTGGAGTATCGTAATATTGATCCGTCTGCGGTGATTGTTCTAATAACATGTGATGTCCGACGATAGCTTTCGGAACATCATAATTTTCGTAAGGTCCAACATTGCTATTACGTACGTTACTTTGCGCGTTACTCTTTTGATTGTGCACATTAGTGGTAATTTGTTCGCTCGGTAGTGGCATTGGAGGTTTCTTTGATTTTTTCGTGGCAGTACATTGGGACGGTTTCGGTGGTCTTGGTGGTAAAACATTTGGACTGAGCGACGATCGACGAACATTTTGTACCTGTGAGCTTTTAGATTGAGGACAATGACAATCAACTTGTTGAGATCCAGAATAATCACTATCGTGACTACTGCTGCTGTACGAAGATAAAGAGAGTCGATCGAAAGTTCGTGGTTGGAGGTGGCATGTCAAACTGCTGACGGCACCAGCTGGACTACCTATACTACTTGTACCAGTACCCGTTATCAACGTAGAAGATTTCGATACAGTTCCTAACTTGCTAATACAACTGGCACATCTTTCGAGACCAGTCGTACCTTGACGAGTAAGAGAACAGGTACGCCATTCGCTAGGTTGATCGGGCAATTCCGAAACAGAAACTGTATCTCTGCAGCTATAATCACCTTCGCCGTCAGTTTGTTGTCTACTTTCGGCAGATGACCAGTAAGACGAGCTGCCATTCTTGCAACCATCACAATGGTCTTCGTATGATATTGTTGAAGAGTACACAGTTGAGGGAAAAAAATCGCTTGCTCTAGTCTCAGACCTACTAAATTGTCGGCGAGGACTGTCTTGTATTAATGATTCACGGCCAAGCGGTCTTTTTTTCGTAGATAATTTTCCCTCCGCAGCCAATTGCAATGTTTTAACAATGTCGTCACCCTGGTCCGTTATTAAAACATGAAGGCCTTCGCCACGACCACATCTTGAGCCACCTTCGAAGCAAAATCTTCCCTCGACGACACCGTAACGTCGTAAATGACCAATTTCCCATATTCCAACTAACCTTGGTGGAATACCAACTGTAATACAAAATCGACGATCTTGAATATGTAAATGTGCTGGCCCATTCGTTAGTTTTGCCTTCGACGGTGCAGTGGATATTAATATTAAAAATTGTTGATCTGCAAAGATCAAATAATCATTGCATCAGATCATAAACATTTTGAAAAGAATTTGTTATTTGATAGTGTAGTATACTTATAACGTACCTTCTCCTAAGTTATTTGATATCTTTACTTGCCATTGTATTAATCGTTCTCGCGTATCAAAAGCAAGTACGACAGTTACATCTTGACAAATAATAGCTATTGTGTTTGATTCTTTATCAAGAGTAAAACCACTTTCTACTCCAAGAAAATGTTGCAAACTTAAGGATGCCTTTGTTTGCCCTTGCTTATAACGATCCTTGCTATCTCCATAAAGTTGTAAATGCAAACAATCTAAAAGACAAAAAGCACTTTCATATACCGTATAATCATTTTAAAAATTTATATGTGCATATATCTAATAAGATAATAATATACACAAAAAAATACTATAAAAGACCACATAAAGTGAAGTATTTCAAAATAATAGCTACAAAATCGTGCATTGATATCTTTTACTGGAAGTAGGGTAGTTCAAATTTTTTGTCTCTTCAAATAGTTAATCTCTAACAGATGTGCCAGCTGTCACCAAAAATATCTAAGAAAAGATCCTTCATCCTGATAATAAGCATGAAAGTATTCTTTCAAGCTAACATAAGAGAAAAAGTAAAAATATTCTAGACACTTTTGAACGAATAATACAGTTAACTTTCTGTTTTATTATTTTAAGTTATTTTATCATTAAATAGAATATAATTTTTTAATGATTCAATTTTTTAATTACCAATTATTTTAAAGGATGCTTCACATTTTAAAGATGAAATAGGATCTTATTTACTGAGCAAAGGAAAAAAATTATCTATAAAAATTGGTTGAAAGACATTTGATAAAAAAAGAAAGAGATAAATGTACTCTATGCTTATGTAAGCAAAAAGATAATATTCATATCACGAAAATATCAAAAATGAAAATACATGCAACTTTATAATGCAATCATAACATTTCCTGCTACATATCTCTTACTACAGTACAATGCACTCATGTAGCAGATAATTTGCAAGCTTACACGATCTTTCAAAACAAACAATATTATGCAAAATAATGAAAAGTAGGATTTACCTGCTACTGGTGACAATTTTCTCATTACGCACCATCGTGACTTCCACTGTAATCGAGTAAATATATTTTGTTAGATCTTTATTTAATTTGAATAATTAATTCATAATACCTATACATTCATTAATCAGATTGTAATATTACTAAATCATGAAATTTATATGAATATTGGTCGTAATATTGGTTTCAATAATAAACACACACATATATATAAAGTGCATATTAAATAGCTATACTTTACACAATTCTGATTCATGTGATTGATTGTAAGTCTGGAACCTTTAGGTCCTTTTATATCCTCTATGACTAAAAATAAAAGAGTCAGTTACCCTCCTTGACTTAAATACTTCTTGCTACCCCAATATAAACAAAGGAAAAAGGAATTAGCCTTTCATAACTTGTACTCCACAAATACACACAACATACTTATATCTTAATATATACTCCACTCATACTATATTACTTATATCAATTTATATCAAACAGCAAATGTTTTCTGATAAACTATAAATATTCTTTATTGAAGTGTACTTAAAAAATAAATGAGTAATAACAGAACAACTTTTATAAATTATCTGACTACTGTATATATATATATATATATATATATATATATACTTTTATTCCTTTATCTCACATCAATAAAAATCAAATAATTATTATCATTAACATATATTTAGCAAATTTCTGGAAAATATCTATATCAAGATAAATAGTTTTTTTTTTTAGCACAGATTCATATACATATCGATTATGTGTCTTTCGTGTATTACATAATTTTGCTGAATATAGCAGGTATTACGTGCTCAAGTGGCCTTCAGATAAGCGCCTAATAAATATGACCAAAGGATAGTAGATCTTTCTTTGTTTCTTTTAGGTTCAAAGGAACCGGCGCGTTGCCGCTACTATCAACGTGGAGCAAAGCATCAGAAAATAAAGAAAGATCCTAATGCGATAAACATTACCGTTCATCGAATTGTTGATTATATTGTATTATTTAATGTGACAAAACACGTACTCGTAGATACGTATAAATATAACTCACCTTCTTCCCATCGCGAAACTTGACGTTCCCCTCGATGATACAATTGTTATCCACCATTGTATAAATCCACTAACTCGTTTCTCGATGTCAGATATTTTACTCATCACTTGGTAAAGAGAACGTGATTCGTTATCGCGGCCGCGAGAATTCGCGAATTCGAATTTGGAAAAGTATTATTTTATCGCCAGGCATTGGCTCACTCGTGTCCTAGCGCGTCCTTATATTTCTCCCATTGTCCAGTGGGTGGAAGAGAAATAGCACGCATACGAATCACGCGGTAAAATCCATACTTCTCGACGGTCGAGCCCGGGCATCCATCTTGGCAATGTTGCTTTGCTGCGAGCACTGTTATCCCGTACCGCTACCCCGTACCACTGCGATAGAATGTATCCTACACATTTCATCTCCCTCCTTCCTTCTTTCTTCCCCCGCCACTTTCCTTCTTTCTATCCCCCACCACTCTACTCTACCAACCCCTGTGTAACATTCAACGTTACATAGTCACACGCAAATGCTTTGTGCATTTCGGTAGGGAGCTGCTATATAAAAACAGGACAGAAAAAATTAAGATACCTTAGAAAATCTTGCATCTTGCAGCTGCACTACGATTTCTACGAAAAGTATACAACATCTGATACGTCTTTATACTACATTTTCGGGATATCGCTCTCACAAATAATATTGTTTTTTTTGTTCCCTTGATATAATTTAAAGTAATCAAACGAGAAGAAAAAGACTAATAAGTTATATCGAAGTGAATGTTCTTTTTCGCGTGAAAATATTAAATAATATTATTGTTTAAAATGAATATAAATATAACTTATTGCAGTACTCGTTATATATAAAAATGCGATAAGTGAGTTATCATTTATCTTTAATAGAGAGAAATATTCTACACACATACATGCTATATAATTCCACAACATTCATTAAATATTCAGAATTAAATATTCTATAGAGATGCAATTTGCAGCCACGTCATATTCCCGAATAAAAAAAGATAATTTAATTGTAATCGTCATTTTCCTTTAATATACCCAATGGTAGAAGATTGGTATTTACAAATAAATTAATGTAATAATTTCATAAAATAAAATAAAAGATTAAAATAAAATAAAATCGTGTAAAAATATGATCAACTAATTATTATTAACACATTATTTATTATTCTTTTTATATAAAATGAGTGTAAAAATATTATAATCTGTAAAGTTATATTTGTATAAGTATGTGATTAAAATTATTATTTAATATTATTATTCAGTAATATTATTCAGAAAAAATCAACAAGAAAAGATCTCGTGGCAATGTACTTTGATTTTTATTACATGTCACAAGCCAAATCTACCATATCAGCTAAAAATGTTGACATATCTTAAAGCACTATCATTTATCGTATTATTAAAACATTTGCAGTACTCTCTCTCTCTCTCTCTCTCTCTCTCTCTCTCTCTCTCTCTCTCTCTCTGATCACATACTAATGTAATATTTTATATATAATTATAAATTTAATACTTTAGAGAATGTTATACCCATATTCTCATAAATATTCCTCCTTCCTAAATATTATATTCATATATTCCTTATTGCAAAACTGTTTGGAAAATTTCGTTCTATTTAGCTACCTCATTAATATTTGTTTTCTCTAGATTATCTATAAATATAAGAAAAAACGTTTACATATATAATTTAAGAGATAAATCGGTTTTAATTTTTCGGCTTTCCTTGATTTCTTCCAACCGATATTTATATAATCAGTTATAAAAACTGCATAGACAGTGGAATTATTTTTGTTAACACTCCGTTCTCCAACTTACTCAATCCTGACTTCTGCAACTTAATTCCAGGAACGTAAAATTTTGGTATCTTAAAACCACTTAACCATCTTCGATTAACTCGATCAGCAATGCAACCAACAACTAAACTTTTAATCATATAGCCAACAGTAGACATTTTAATTGCATAAGTCACTCGTCAGCGTATTGCACTTTTAACTGCAATTTTATTGTTGGCAACTCTTTTAGAAATTCTACTGTTGGCTACATTGCTAACGGAAAATCGTTCATTCAAATTCATCGAAGTTTGATCAAAATGACTTACTATATCGGTACATATCTGCTGCAAATATAAAAGTTTTCACAGTTCGACAAAATAAACGCTTAATATGTACTGATATATGGATGATGCACCATTAAAAATGTATTGACAAAGTTTCAAAAAAAGGAATCGTTTAAAAAATTCAATAACATTGTTATTGATTCTAAAATGACTACTATTTGTTTGAGTTACTTTTTTAGCAATAATTTCTCTTTTACAATAATTAATGATAGAAAAATATTAGAATTGTTGTATAAGTAAAGTAATGATAAGACATTGTAAAAAACTTTGTAAGTTGTGCAATAAAAATCTGATTATATATATATATATATATATTAGAATTGTTGTTAATATAAATTAGAGATAGAATAAATATATTTATTTAAACAAAAAAGTCAGATTAGGTTTATTAGTGCATTTCTATAAGATCGCCAACTATCGGCGAAGTCATGAATTAACTAAGTGTCAAAACGTGACATTTTAATTTGTTATACGTCGATTGAAATAATATTCGTTAATTTCAACATGATTGAGGCACCGAGTATTTCTAAATTATTTTTTATATAAATTACACGGTAAAATTACAACGGTAAGCTATGGACAATTTAAAAATTATGGAAACACCTTTGTCAAACATGTTTATTCGTCAAACAGACGTTACGAATTTATAAAGAATATTATTAAAAATTACGATTATATATATTAATATTGTGAAGTTTCCTATACAATTTTTACATAAAAAAAAAACAAAGTATTAAAAAGCAATGATTCGGATAAATCATATACGGATTTCTCGTGTAAAAAATGACCATAAAAAGAAAATTATACGGGAACGTTATCCATATATCTCTGTATTTAAATAAATATACACAAATTATTCTGGAAAGATGACAATTATTATGAGATAATAAAATGTGTAATATATTTATAAAACATCTTCTTAATATCATTTACAATTTTTATTAAAAGTAATTTTTTTAACAGAACCATGTCAACTAATTCGTCAAATATTGGACTAATCAATATGGATAGCTTTATAACAACCAATTCTGATCCAATTGATAATTTATATATTGCTTTGATACAATGCTTCGGAATAATATTATGTGGGTAAGAACTTGTGTTATTTTTCTGCTAGTTTTCCAAGTATAAATACAGTATTATAGAAAATTAAGTAACGTTTAAATCTTAAAAATTATATTATCTTTTAGGTATATCGCTGGAAGATTTAATATTATTACAAAAATAGAAGCAAATGGTTTAAATACTTTTGTTGGTACTTTTGCTCTACCATCGCTAATTTTTACATCATTGGCCAAGTTAGATTTTACGTTGGTCAATTGGAGTTTTTTACTTGCAATATTACTTGCAAAATGTTGCGTATTTTTTACTGTACTCGTGGTATCATTATTGATTAAAAAACCATCGAATTCTGGTCGTGCAGCCCTCTTTGCAATATTTACAACGCAAAGCAATGATTTTGCGATAGGTTACCCTATGAGTAAGTTTATTAAAAAAATATATTCTTAATAAGTAATTTATTTACATCAACAAACTTATTATTTTCAGTTGGTGCCATTTATCAGAAAACTCATCCCGAATATGCTGCATATCTATATCTCATGGCTCCTATATCACTGGCTATCTTAAATCCTATTGGTTTCATATTACTAGAAATTAGTAAACGCACTTTAGAAGAAAATAAATCTTGCTGGTCAATGGTTTATTCGGTTATAAAGGGCGTCGCTTTAAATCCAGTTTTATTTATGACAATCTTAGGCATCATAGGAAATGTAATATTTAGCCATGTTATTCCATCTTTTCTTGCTGCTATTCTCGAAGTACTTGGAAATGCTTTTTCTGCTAGTGCCTTATTTCTTCTTGGTTTAATGATGGTAGGAAAAGTACACAAACTAAAAGGTACAGCTCTAGTCATACCAGGAATATTGATATCAGTTAAACTGTTAGTACTTCCGCTTGTAATTCGAGAATCGATTATTTTGTTAAATGCCGGTGATAATGTTACTGATACCAGAGATTTAAGTACATATGGATTTCTTTATGGTACAATTCCGACAGCACCAGCACTTTTTATATTTACATTACGTTACAATGTTGAAATTGATTTAATAGCATCAGCTATGGTCGCTTGTACATTTTTATCCGCTCCGCTTATGTTCATATCAGCAAAATTAGTTAGTGCCATTGATGCTGGCGTAACACCAGCCAGTTACGCTCATCAACTCCGAGCTTTCTCTTTTGATATAAGTACTATATCTGTGGTAGCTTGTGTATGGCTGCTAATATGTTTTCTTGGTGTGGGTCGCAAATATAAAAGTGTAACACACAGATATACTCTTTGCCTCGTGATCGCTCAGGTTTGTTAATATAAATGATTATACAGACCTATCTATATGTTTAGCATACCCTCTTGTACACATTTATTAATCATTATGTTTTTTTCTTTTTAGTTGATTACTGCGATTGGTACTATTATTTGGACAAAACTCGACGCAGATACTACTGGATCTATTTTATGGTAAATTATTATGAACAAATAATTTACACGATTAATAATGAGATTTCTTTATTAAATATGAATAACTATCTCATTTTAGGTATATCCAATTTGTTTTAATTTCATTAGGTGTATATGGAAGTAGAATATGGACAGTTGCAATAGCAGTAACTCTTCTTTTTTTGAATTCGCATTCATTATCATTTGTACAAAATATGCAAAAATGGTTACTTCTTAGTGGTTGTGGGTATGAAAATATTATATTACATTGATTCATATTTTTAGATACTTTATATTAACGAATGTTACTTACAGAGTAACAGCTTTGATTGTATCTTTAATGTGTATTTGCATAACGCCAAAGAAACCAATCGAATTTGATTTACAAAATCCGAATTTTCAACTCGGCAGGAGTCAAGCAGCTATATCTGTTGCTATATTAATATTTTGTTTTATTGGTAAGAATCATATGTACATACATAATAAAAGAACAAAAATTTTATTAGAAATAATTTAATAAAACCATTTTATTGTATACAGTAACATTAGGTTGTTTAGTTTTACAACAAAGATATCATCAAATAAGAAATGATTTAACCACGTATAGCAATGCAAATAATGAAGAAGAAAGATCTAATCTCAGTAACGATACTAATGGAAGAAATGTTGTTGATGTGGAAGATATTGCATCTCATTCAGAGAGCACCCCAATGTATGTATGAAATTATATTACTTATATACAGGATGAGATATTAAGTTTGTAGATACATAAAATGCTAACATAAATAAATTATTCTTATAGCATTGGTTGTGAATTTCAAAATATTTGTCCTAATTCAATGTGTACTGTAAGTCGAAACAATACTTATCCTTTTGATTGTAATCAAGAAGAAAATGTAACTCCAACAGATTCAGAAGATCCACAGATATTACGACATTTAGTATTCCTCATTCTGCTTTCATGTTCTATATTCATTGTAAGACTTATTTAATATTTACATTTTATTTATAATAACATAATTATGTATCATTATCACAATTAAATTGGACATATTTATATTTTTCAGGGTTTATCAATATCTATTAGTACATTAATTATGGACCAAATGATAGGCATTTATGCAGAATTAGCGTTCTTAGATATTGCATTAAATTTTGGTCAATCATTAATAGCTTTTGCAATATTTGGACTTGATCCTGGCCTTAATAAACTAGGCTTTTGGTTACAGCAACTTAGTCAAAAATGGCGCGGTGGTGGGATAATTTTTTTTTATTTCTGTTTTATATGTATGTTACCGTTGAAGTGTATCATATGTCATATATGATTTTTTAATATTAACAGAAACGGAACTACAATTGCCTCCAGAAGATGCATTGAGTTCAGAAACGAAAGCTATTCGTGAGCAGTTCAATCGATGTCATTTAGCCAAATGTCGAGCAAGGATAGCTATATGTCGACGAAGATTATTGAAAGTGCATAGAGGAGTTTTTACTGGTTGTGATTTAGTAGATTGGTTATTAGAAGCTGGAATAGTCCAAACTCGAGAAGATGCTGTTCATTATGGTCGCTGTCTTTTAGAAAGTAGAACATTGCAACATATTGATGGTACATGCCATTTTTATGACAAAAACTTACTCTATACATTTAGTGCATGATATGTTACGATTAATTAATTTAGAATAACTTCGAAACTTTTAAGTTTCTAATGAAACAAAAACTAAATAGAATTATATTGTTTGACAGCCTAAGACTAATATCGAAGTGTATATTCTTAGMACATTTTATTTTATTATTAATCTTATCATTATATTTATTTATTTATTATTATTTATTGTTATTATTATCATTATTATATAGCATCAAACTTTAATAGAGAGTAGTATTTTAATTTATTTGATTTTTTATTAATTATTTTTCATTTATTTCTCGTTTACTAAGCACCTCAAAACAAATAGTTTATATATTTTTTTAAAATACTAATTATACATGTAATGGGAGATTTAAAGAGAACAAATTTTTATTTTAATATATAAGTAACCAAGAAAGTTCGGGCCGTTTTTAAGTTTCTGTATCATATATCTCTATTGATTAA